GTGGATTGCCTGAGCCCACGGGTTCGAGACCCACCTGGGCAACTTGGCGAGACCTCATCTCTACAATAAAATCAAAAAAATTAGCCGGGCATGGTAGCGCGTGCCCGTAGTTCCAGCTACTTGGAAGGCTGAGGCAGAAGGGTCGCCGGAGCCCAGCAGGTCAGGGCCGTGGTGGCCGGGAGCGGCCACTGCACTCCAGCCGGGGCGACAGAGTGAGACTCCAACTCAAAAAAAAAAAAAAAAAAAATCAACACCAATTCCCAGCAAGCTGCTTCTTATATTCCTACTGCGTCTTCTTTGACTTCACGTAGTCTAAGAAAAACTACAGAAGAGTGGAATACTGGTAGCTCCAAGACTGATCTAAAATCCTTCCAGAAAGATACATCCTAACTGCAAAAAATGCTGAAAAAGATTCCTGGTAAATCAGAGCACTTACTACAAAGTACACTACTAGTGTACTTTGAAAGGCATTACTTATGGTAGAGAAGGTTAAAAAGAAAGAAGAGCCGTTGGAGGGTAAAATAAAAGAAGCTCCTGTAATCCCAGCACTTTGGGAAACTGAAGCAAGAGGCTTGCCTGAGCGTAGGGGTTCAAGGCCAGTCTGGGCAATTTGGCGAGACCTCGTCTCTACAGTAAAAATTTAAAAATTAATCTGGTATGGTGGCGCACACCTGTAGTTTCAGCTACTTGGAAGGCTGAGGCAGAAGGATCGCCTGAGCTGTGGTAGCCATGAGTGTGTCACTGCACTCTAGTCTGGGCAACAGAGTGAGACTCCGACTTAAAAGAAAAAAAGCAGAAGCAAAAGTGAACATCTGAATCCTGAAAGATAAGAGAGAACAAAAAACATAGAGGATACACATCCCTCTCCCCACACCCTCCTCTGGGGAGCCATCCATTTAAAAACTAAATGCTTGCTTGCTCGCTTTGGCAGCACATATACTAAAATTGGAACGATACAGAAAAGATTAGCATGGCCCCTGCGCAAGGATGACACGCAAATTCGTGAAGCGTTCCATATATTTTAAAAGATACCTGCACACATATGTTTATCACAGCATTGTTCACAATAACAAGAACCTGGAAGCAACCATGCTGTCCATCAAAAGAGGACTGGATTTAAAAAATGTGGTACATATACACGATGGAATACTATGCAGCCATAAAAAAGAACAAAATCACAGCAGCAACCTGGATGGAACTAGAATCTATAATGGAAAAATTTCACAGCAACCTGGATGGAACTAGAATCTATAATACTGAGTGACCTCTCACAGAAACAAAGATCTGAGTATCACATGTTCTCACTCATATAGTGGACCTTGATCATCCAACGTATTACCATAAGAAAATGACTGACAGTGGTGGGAAACTATGGGGCGGGGGAGGGGAAGGAAGATGGGATTAATGGTAGTAAATATCTGTCTGGGGACGGGGAGATACCTCTTATCAACAAGGGTGGCTGAACGAAGCATATTTGTATACCTAA